CAAATATTCCAATTTCAAAATGGGGTCCAGAATGAACAATGTAGGCATTCCTTGCCTAAACTAAAATTTTTCCTCTGTTCATTAGTTATGTTTTGAGGCTTTACAAATAAATTCCATTTTGATTTTTTATTCACATAATGAATTTTTTTCACCCCAAAAAATAAAAGTTTTACTTTTTGCAATACGTAATAATTTTTTAAAAATCATCACCATTTTTGTGAATGTATTTTAGCCCCACCATGAGTGTATTAGACTGGAGGTCGTTTGTTTACTTTTGAATATCGGCAAAAATTTAACTTTTCCGCTATTTTGACTCATTTTCAACCTTTTCCAAGCAAAACCAATCAAAATCTTTTCTATTTTGTAATATTTTTCCATTCTATCAAATGAGACCAAAAATCGCAAATACAACTATAAAAAACAACGAAAAAACACTGCAAAGTTCTGTTTTAATAAAAAAATCATGATTTCATTTTTTTTCTCTCATTATGCACAGTGTGCTGGGATCTTTTTTATTGGTGCACACATACCACATAAGTTTCTCTCTACCCAGGCCCAAATGTACCACTCACATTTTTACAGAGTGAGCTGGCCATGGCGAATCTAGGGTTTGGCCCCCTAACGTAAAGCCGTAATCTAGGGGACGGCCCCCTGAAAGGGTTAATGGGACAAGAAAATCTTCATTCCTTAATACAATGGAAAAAAACCATGGGTCCCGGGACTTATTTTGCTTCAGCTTGTCTATCGTTTGAAAACCATGCCCCTTTGACGCAATATTATTTTTTAAAATTTCATCGGGAACGAAAACTTTTAATTTCGGGAATCCTTTTTGTCTTCCTGTTAAAAACTGACAAAAAATCATCTTTAAACCCTTTTTGAGGTCACAGGCCCCTCCAAAACTCCCCCTGGGGTGGGCCCAAAATTTTCAAAAAAAAAAAAAAATTATTTTTTTTATAAAAAAAATAGAGTATTTTTTCTAAACTTTTTGGGCTAAAAAAAAAATTTTTTAACGTCAATATTTTACCGAGATATGGAGGGTAAAATTTGCCAATTGAACAAATATGGAACATCCCGACGCCGCCCCCGGATTTTTCTATTTACTTTTTATGTACTATTTTCAATTATTTTTTCAATTTTTTTTTTCTGAGTAACTTTTATCCTCTGGGGCCCAACATGATCAGTATTTTGTAATTATTTTTTTTTCAATATAACAATAAGGGCGTAAAAAACTTTTGCTTTATTTTGTTTACAAAAAATTTTTACCAAAAAAACAATGAAAGTTTTTATTGCATTTTTTATATTTATATACACATATACAGTCACGGGGAATTTTTCTAGAAGTTTCTGCACCCCTGTGGAAGTCTTTGAAACAGGGTGCATGCCAGTGGATTTTGCACTCCTCACAATAAACAGTGTCTCTGCTTTTTGTGTGCGTTTTCTTGATTGCACAGACGTAACACCTTTTCTGACCCTTTTCTTAAAAAGCAGTAGCACTTTACCGGGAAGTGTCACCATGCTTCGACGAGCAGGTAGTTGTTGATATTTTGGGGCGGTCAATTGCAGGGCTTTTTCCTTGGTACTTGAATACATTGCCCTGATACAGACAAACAGAATTCGCAGTACTGGGGTTTTTTTTGTGCTCATCTTATACATATTATAACATTGAGCATGGAAATGTCCAGAAAGGGAAAAACAGTTTGAGTCCCACTAAAACTCGCGAACACAATCAGCAAAACCCAATCTGCATGCACTTTGTCCACTGAACGATTGAAGTTAATAAATCACACGCGGTTTTAGAATGGGTTCATTTTCTCTCTATGCTGCCTGCCCCTGTTTGCCATTTCATTGGGGTGAATTGATGCAACAGTGTGAATCCGTTGTCATGCCACCGAAACCCCATGAGTCATTGGCAGCAAACGCCTGCACCTAAAACCCTACGGTCCCAGCGTCAAACCTGGGCTATTTTTCAATTTGCACGCACTGGCCACACACATCGTCAGTTCACTCGCAAAAATCACTGAGTGAGGGGCTTGTGTACCATTATCTGATATAAATATGCCCCTTACAAGGTAGGGTTTCATCATTGTTCAAACCCACATACCTGAATGCCCAAAAAACTTCCGTATTTGCAATGAAACTTCCAGTGTACACAAAATACCCAATCCAACCATGAACAATCAAAAGTACAAACAATTTTTAACCCAAAGCGTTTCCTCTTGCTTGGATTACTGCTTAAAAGAGAGTCTTCCTTAAACAGAATCAAAGACTCGAAATTAAAAGTTTCCTGAAGGGATAAAAATGCGTACGAATTTCTGTTTCAGAACAAACACTTTCCTAATCTTATTAAACCTTCAGTTCTGTCAGCCTGGTTTTACTGAGAAGTGAACATCTAACTTTTCAAAAATCGATTCAGGGCATTATATCACTGAAACCGGTGTTCATCAGGGGTCTTTTGACCATATGATTTCATTTTGGTTTATACACATGGGGCATAACTTATTGGGGCAAAAAAAAGATACTCTCAGCCACAGTTGCCTCCTTCCATGTGTAACGTGATTTGTTTAGTATGTGTTTGCCAGGGTGTATCGAGTAGGGTTTTGCTTTCCATACAATACTTTTCATCAGGGGTTTTTCGTAAAAGAATAACTCGAAACATTCCCGTTTTTAGTGGCATTTTCCAAGTGCCAAGATGGCCGTTTCCACTTTGGGTGCCATAAACTGGGGGGGGATTTGAACAAAATTGACAGCTTCCTGCCCAAACCCGGGGGCGGGCGTGGTGGGGGACTGGCAAAGACAGGGGGTTTTTGGTTGTGGAGGGTTGTGGGTTTGGGGGTTGGGTTTGGAGGCTGGTGTGGGGGGGGGGGGGATGGTGGCCTTTGTTCAGATCAGCTAGGCAGCGGGGTGGGTGGGAGCGTGGGTGGCAGCAGGCCCCCTGCTGGGGCCTCACGCCGGGACCACACCACCCCGCACTTTTCCATCCCAAATTGCAACAGTATCTCTCATTTTCACTGTCTGTTCCGTTGTACAGCCCCGGGGTGTACCCGAGTACCTCCTTTCCCCCTTTGGGAAAAGTATGGGCCCCTTTCCCAAAGGGTAATCGTCCCTATATACGACGCTCACGGGGAATATTGCACTTTCACTATCACTACTGGAACAGTTTGAAGAGCTTGTAGTTCATATTTCATATCACTATCATCACCCCTGCTCTCATCTGAGTTGGGGTTTGGGAAAAAAAGAAGTTTCCTCTTGGGTTCTGGAAAACTGAACGAAAAACGAGGGCCCCCACCCAAAGGGGGAAAGGCTGAGGCGTCTGGGTTTTTCTTCACTATTACCGAATTTTTGGTCATTAGTTTCGGCAAAACCCACAAAAAAACGAAACTCATCTTTCCCCGGGACTCCATCACTATTAGAACTGTCACTGGGGGAAAAAAAGTGTCCCAAATTTGCCGAGGATGAGAACTTTTTACCGCGAGCATGGGCATTGTTTACAAGAGGGGATTCCCACAATGACCCCTGGGTCCCAGATTTTTTTTCTACCGCGCACACCCACCACGCAACCCCTTTCCTCACACCAGGCCTACCCCTTTTTGTGCGAGATTTAGGCCGCAGAATTTAGCATACTAGTACTCAAAAACCCCCAGGAAACGTACTAGTACGACGAAAACCTCAAAGGGTTAAATAAGGAACACATTTCCATTCATTTTCCCTTACTGTCCATTTCCAATTTTCAGAGGTCCACTTTTTTTCCCTTTACCTTCATCCTATACACCTGAAAAAAACCCTTTTCAGATTTTTTTTCTTTGATTCATTAGCAAAATCTAGTTTTATATCATGTTTAGACTTTTTAAACCCCCTTTTTCACTTCTTTTTAAGCTGAACATATTGGTCATAAGGGTTTAAACCCTCCTCTTCTGATGTCCATAAAATTTCCCCTTTTTTCCCCTAAAAGATGCTTTAGACCCCCTTAACCCATTTTTGACCTTATTATCAGACCTAATTTCTCTCTGGGATGTATAACTCGAGCACGTGTACATTTTATTTAAAAAAACATCAAAATGCGATACCTCATAAACAAAGTATGATCATCATAACAAAAACATTTAGTAATAACCCCAATCAGATTTGACAGGGGTTTTTCCCAATCCATTTATTTTGGGAGAATGAAAATCAGGATTTTACAGACAAATAGACAACAGCATTTTGGTACCACAAAACAAAGTAAGGGGGAGCTCCAAAAAAAACCCCCTAATTTTCTTTCCCCGCCCTCGAGTTGTCCATCAAATCAGCTCTTACCTGGGGTTTTCCTGGAAGAGTTTCCCGGGGGGCAACGCCCCCGCGGCCCGGGCTGTGACCAGGGCCCCCGGTGGATCAGAGCCTGATCAAACCCGGGTGTTTCTCTGGGTGCACGCAAAACCCAAAGTAGGCCACACCCGGGTATCCGGAAAGACTTGGCTTGTCCATGCCCGTTGAAAACTGCCAGGGGGTTTTTGGTAATCCCCTTTTTGCTGGGAGGGAGTTGAACAGTCCGGGGCCCCCACACTTATTTTATGGTCCTTTCGTCTATGACACCCCCGCTTTTCATGGGGGGATGGTGCATCGTCTGCCCAATCTTTGCTTTTGTAGTGAGTGATTTTCGTTGCAAGTTCGGTACTAGTCCCTCTAGGATTTTCCAGGTGTATATAATCATGTATCTCTCCCTCCTGCGTTCCAGGGAATACAGGTTTAGGAACCTCAAGCGCTCCCAATAATTGAGGTGTTTTATCTCCGTTATGCGCGCCGTGAAAGTTCTCTGTACATTTTCTAGGTCGGCAATTTCACCTGCCTTGAAAGGTGCTGTTAGTGTGCAGCAATATTCCAGCCTAGATAGAACAAGTGACCTGAAGAGTGTCATCATGGGCTTGGCCTCCCTAGTTTTGAAAGGGTTCTCATTATCCATCCTGTCATTTTTCTAGCAGATGCAATTGATACAATGTTATGGTCCTTGAAGGTGAGATCCTCCGATGTTAGGAGGTGAGATCCTCAGATGTTATTTCATCACGTCACTGTCAGGGGCAGACTTTGTTTTTTATGCTTCAAGGCAACTTCTTATTACCTATTATTATTATTACCTATTCTTCTCCTCCTCCTCCTCCTCCTCCTCCTTCTCCTCCTTCTCCTCCTCCTCCTTCTCCTCCCCTTCTCCCCCTCCTCCTTCTCTTCCTCCTTCTCCTCCTCCTCCTCCTCCTCCATCTCCTCCTCCTCTTCCTCCTTCTCCTCCTCCTCCTCCTCCTCCCTTTCCTCCTCCTCCTCCTCTTCCTCCTTTTTTCCCCTCCTCTTACTCCTCCTCCTCCTCCTTCTCCTTCATCTCCTCCTCCTCCTCCTCCTCTTCCTCCTTCTTCTCCTTCTCCTCCTCCTTCTCCTTCTCCTACTCCTCCTTCTATTAATCTTCTGTTATTATATACTTCTACATATCCAAAACATTGATGGGATATATAAATACTTTGTATATATTCCAAGACAATTGAAAATGGCCAGGGCAGGTGTAAATGTCCATCTGTCAATGTGTTTGTGACAATTTCAGTGCAATTTCAGTACCTAATACTAGTGTCAGAACAAAGATTGGTTATAAAATGAAAACAACTACTATAAATTATAATTATCAGAACATAAAAATTATATATATGAAAAATAGAAAAAAAAGGTATATCGGCAACACTTCTGCAAGCGGCAGGACTAGATGTTGCCGTCACGTGAGCATCCAGTGCCAACTTCTGGGCCTCATATCTCTGTAAGTACTGGCCCTAATTTTTTATTCTAAAACACCTCAAAAAAAATTTTTTTTTTATTGTTTTTTTTTTCAAAATATTCGATGTGCAAGTGTATATATAGGTTTGGACCGTTTAAGGGTTAAATCCATTATTTCTGGTTCTTACCTGGTTCAACACTCTCAGTACTTTATTAAGAACATAAGAAAGGAGGAGCACTGCAGCAGGCCTGTTAGCCCATACTAGGCAGGTCCTTCACAACTCATCCCATTAACAGAATATTTGCCCAACTCAATTTTCATTTGTACCCAAGGAACAATCTTTGATAATTCTACTAACTCATGTGCAATCCCACTCAAATCTGTTGATGAAGGAATCACAGGCTACCGGGATGATAGCTTGGAGACAGTTCAGCGAAATGAACAACAGTATGAAATCCCTCTCAAGATAGTCTCTTATGAGGAGTTGTATGGATGGACAATGGACCGTATTGTAAAGAAGATTGGCCGAAAAAGTAATTGCACATTTTGTGGTGTGTTTAGAAGACAAGCATTGGACCGAGGAGCAAGTTTACTGAAGGTTGATAAAATTGTGACTGGACACAATGCTGATGATATTGCTGAGACAGTCTTAATGAATATTCTGCGAGGTGACATTGCCAGACTTCAACGGTGTACTGCAATAGAAACTGGTTCTGAAGGTGCAATCCCAAGATCCAAGCCATTTAAGTATACATATGAGAAGGAGATTGTTATGTATGCATATTTTAAGAAGCTGGATTATTTCTCCACTGAATGCATTTATTCACCAAATGCTTATCGTGGGTATGCCAGAGCATTCCTGAAGGATTTGGAAAAGATTAGGCCAACTTCCATCATTGATATTATCCATTCAGGTGAGTGCTTCTCTGTGCGTGAGGGAGTTAAACTTCCAACTCAAGCAACATGTGAACGTTGTGGCCACATTTCTTCCCAGTCAGTATGTAAAGCTTGTGTTCTCCTTGAGGGCCTTAACAAGGCAACCCAAGATTTGGCATTGGTAAAACTTCTAAGGCCCCAGAACATATGGAGGAACTTGCAATCAGCAACCTGAAAATGATGCACCTACTGTCAAACATCTGTCATTGTTTTAGACGGGTTCAATCTTCATTTTAAAAAAATACAAATTTGGAATTTTGATGACGTTGATTAAGTAAAATTAGAATTTATTTAATGATAATAAAAAGAAAAAAAAAAAAAAAAAATACTTCCCAGTGGGTGATAAGGCTAGACCTTGGATAGTTTTAAGAAGAGACTGGACAAATATGTGAGGGGGAGGGGCTGGTTTTGTTGGGTGTCAAGGGGTCGGGGTTATTTCTTGAGAAGCTTTAGGTAATGTCGTTTTGAAAAGGGACCGCCCGTATGGCCGTGGCCTTCTGGGGTTTTTCCTACATTCTTGTTCTTATGTTCAGTATTTATCCAAACCCAAATTGGAAAAATACCAAGGTCTTGCCCCCAATAACCCATGGCCCTGTTCCCTCATCAATACCCCTTTTCCAAACCAATACTTTCTGTACCCATTCTAAATCTAAAAATTTTCTAATTTAATCCATTTCTGCGGGTTTTTCTTTGGAGAGAGATCGTCAAGACCTTTTTAAAAAATCCTCTTTATTAATACCCATCTTCCCTAGTACACTTCGTCAGGTTCCCCTTTATTTTTTCTCTTACAAGTGAGTGAATTTAAGGGGCTTTAAACTCCCAAAATGAATATTGGGGTAGCTTTCTCTGTGGGAAAAAAAGATACCTATAAAAATAATATCCCTTTCCCCCTACCAAGGCTTTTAGAAGCAGGTCGAAAGAAATGCTTTGGGGACACCGCAGGGAGGAGTTCTTTTTTCCCATCTATTTAATATTTGTTAATGCTTCCCAAATACTCTACCTCCCCCCACCAAACTACAGCTATAAGCTATGCTGGACATCATGAACATACAACAGGGAAAAAGATGATGAGCACCATTCCAAATGAGTTCAAGAAATTTGTAATCAACGGGGCCCTTTATAATATCTTTCCTGAAACAAAGTATTAAAAGCAAACACTTCCCCACCCATCTATTTGCGGGGTGAAAATACTAGCTTTTTTAAAATTAATTCTTGTCTTGCGTAATGTACCCTTAAACAAATCCACTATACCACAACTAAATAAAAAAATGCAGATAGGTAAAAAATCCAAGGTGTTGCTGATAAAACCCCCCAACATGGTGCCAAAGTGAGAATCATGGAATAATGTACAAGCCTAAGTTTGGCCCCTTAAAACCTTTCGGGGTCGACAGGCCCCTTCCAAGACTGTTTTCTCGGGGTAAAAAATTTTTTCAAAAAAAAAAAAATTATTTTTTTTTATGAAAAGATTTTTTTTTTTTAAATCTTCGGAGTTTACCGGGAGAGATTTTTCGGGGGTCAACGCCCCCGCGGCCCGTTGTGCCCAGGCCCCCGGTGGTCAGCGCCTGATAAAACGGGTTTGCTGCTGGCTGCACGCAAACCAACGACAGCCACAGCCCGGGGCTGATCAGAACGACTTTTAGGTGCTGCCCTGCCAGCTTAGACTCCCCGGGGGTCTTTGGAAACCCCCTTATGTGTGCGGGGAGGCAGTTAACAGTCTCGGGCCCCTGACACTTATTGTATGGTCTCTTAACGTGTTTTAGTGACCCCCCCTGTTTTTCTTTGGGGGGGAGGGTGCATTTTTCTGCCATCTTTTGCTTTCTAGTGAGTGATTTTTCGGTAAAAGTTCGGTACTTCCCTCTAGGATTTTCCGGTGTAATAATCATGTATCCTCCCCCCTGCGTTCCAGGGAAACAGGTTTAGAAACCCAACCCCTTTTTTCCCGTTTTGGGTGTTTTTACTTTTCGGCGGAATTTCTCTTACTTTTTTGGGGGTGGGCAATTTCACCTGTTTGAAAGGTGCGTTAGAGTGCACAATTTCCGCCTAGGAAAAGTGCCTGAGAGGGGCATCATGGTTGGCCTCCCAGGAGCCTTTACCATCGCATTTTTTCTGCGGCGATTGATACAAGTTAGGTTTGAAGGGAAACCCCTTAAAAACATAATAAAACCCCATTTGGGGAACGTTGGTTTTCGCTCATTTTGTGGCCAGAATTTTTTTGTACTCTGTAAAGATTTAATTTTCCTCATGTTTACCATTCTGAGAAATTAAAATTTCTCATCGTTGAACTTCTATTGTTTTCTGCAGCCCACTGAAAGTTTGGTTGATGTCCCCTAGCCGTGCAGTGTCTGCAATGGAAACATGTCATCAGTTTCGGGTTTGTCCCGGGCGGGGCCGGGCTGTGGCAAATCCTTGTCTATGTGGTATGAGGATGGGGAACAAGAGGGAGCTAGACGGCCTTGGGGAAAACAACTTTTCACCATCCCTGCCTCGGATTTTTACTCTGTTGCGACTACTCTTGTGTTCTGTTATGAGGAAATTATAGATCCATCACCGCTTTTCCTTTTTATCCTTTGGGCATTTTGTGCCTATTACCCCATGGTCACACTTGTCAAAGGCTTTTAAAAAATTGTATTATTACTCTGCATTTTTTTTGTCTTCTAGTAAATTTTAGGACCTTGTCGTAGGAAACCATATTGGACAGCAGAGCGACCGTTCAAACCCATGTTCCCGGGGTTGTGTAACTGAGGGGTTTCTAGATGGGTGGTGATCTTGCTTCTTAGCCCTTTCAAAGATTTTTATGATATGGGAGTTAGTGCTTTTGGGTCTGTAGTTCTTTGCTGTTGCTTTACTGCCCCTTTTTTGTGGATGGGGCTTGTCTGTTGTTTTTAGTAACTGAGGGACGACCCCCGTTCCATGCCCCCTCTCCATAGGAGGGAAAAGGCTCGGATGGGGGTTTTTGCAGTTCTTATGAACACAGAGTTCCATGATTCGCCCGGGGCAGATGCATGGGCATGTCTTTATCCCCTGTTCGAAGTCATTTGGTGCGGGAAAAACTGGGATGGCTTTGTTTAATCAAATTTTGTGCTCTTCCCCTAAAAAATTCATTTTTATCTTCGACCTCAGTTTGGGTTTGCGGGGTTCTAAAAAATGAGTCATATTGGGACTTTAGTAGCTCATCATTTCCTTTGTCATCTGTGTAGGGCCCCCTCTTGTTTTGATAGGGGGGCCCCAAAACTGGGCGTTGTTCTCGATTTTGATTTTTGGGATAGGGGAAAAAAATACTTTGGGTTTCTTTCGATTTTATTTATGGCTTTTATTCTACCCGCGTTCCTGACTCCCCAAAAGGGTTCTTTTAGCTTAAGTTCGATGCTTTTCTATTTCCTGAACCAGTGTCTCCCCGCGCATTTCAGAATTATTTGACCTCTTTTTGCCGCTCTGTTATTTTTTTTCCGCGCCCGAAAGGAGCGCCTGTCTCTTTCTATTTTTCATCTACCCCCCTTTTTTTTAGAGGAATAACCTTGTCATACATCGAGTGCCACCCAGTTAATCTGTTTTAGGCAAAGTTTGGGTCTGTGTTTCTTAGTAACTTCCCAGCTTATATCGGTTAGGACTTTGGGTTTTCTTGGTCCCCACTTTATTTTTTGTTTTTGAAGTTGAATTTGGGAATGCTCCCTCGTGACTTCTCATTTTGTCGGGCTTGGGGGTCCACGCAACATTTGAACCTCAATTAAAGTTTGATCGATATATTGTTTTTTATAGGGACATTTTTATCAATCATATTTTAGTGAAGATGAGGTCTAGTGTATTCTCCAGTCTAGAGGCTCTTTTTTGCTGGTTTAAATTTAATTTTTTTGCGAGATTTAAAAGCTCGTGTGAGTGTGAGTTTTCATCAGAGCTGCCTCCCCGGGGTTTTTTAAGCAACAATATTATTTTTCTATATTCCTCCCCTTTTTGGTGCCTTAAGTTGAAATCCCCCAGGATCAAGATGTTGGGTTCAGGAGCTGGAAGATTTTCCAGACATGGGCAATTTTTTAACAGCTGTTCCGGAATTGCTGGATGTTGCATCCCGGGGCTTGTAACACCACAATACTATTTTGGTTCTCACCTTACTGCTAAAACTTCCCCTAAATCATTTGAGGCATTAAGCGTTCTGTGAAACAAGTACTCGCAATGTACAGGGCCAACCCCCCCCTTTTTTTCCTGTTCACTCTGTCACATCTGTTAGGTTTTAACCCGGGGTCCATATTTTTTGCCAAGTATCCTTTTATGTGGGTTTTCATGAAAAGCCGTGAACATTCCTTTTCCCCTGCAAGCAGTCCCCGGGTGAAAGGGATTTTTTTTGTTTGTTGCTGGGTTTAGACCCTGTAATTTTGCAAAGAAAAAATGTTATCGGCTAGGGTATTTTTTGGAGGGGGGGAATTTTTTTTCGGGATTTTTTAAACTGTATTGTTGGTTTGGAGTGGAGGCCATCGACTGGGTTCCCCCTCCCGGAAAGACGGGTTTGGGGACGATTTCTGCCATTTCCCGCCCGTTTTTTTTTTTTTTCCTGGGACTAAAAAACCTCTCCCTCTTGATGGTGTGGCTAACCCAGGTTTTTCCCCCTGGCCGGGGGGTTTTTGTATCTTTTTGTCCCCTTTAGATGGGAGCCCCGCAATTTAAGTTTTTAGCACATCTTTTCTGTACTGAAGGGTACACATTTCAGGGTGAAAAAGCTTTCGGAAGGAGTTTGCATTTTCCTGTTGTCATTGGGCCTACATTTTTCTAGGGTGGCAAAAGCATGTCCCCTCTGTTTTTCCCGATTTCCCCTGCCAGCAGATACCCTGTAGTATGAGCACAGGCTTGGGTTTTTTTTGCCTTGGGGTTTTTTTTACTGTAAACCCGTTGGGCATGTTTCCCTGTCTTACTCCTATCCCCCCTAGCCCAACAAAGGGGCTCCCACCAGTTTTTTTTGGGAATTTATCCCCACTATTGCTATTGGAGTCCCTTGTTTGCTATTTTCCCGCAGTTTTCAGTTTGCAATATTGGTTTTATCTTATCTTTGACTAATTGTTTCCCCACATGGCTCCTGTCCCCTATGAGGTCATTTATATGTATTCCTTCCTGGATAATTCCCGACTACCTGGACAAAAACTCCCCGCTTCACCATTACGTCTCCCAGGACAGTATCTCCGCTTCACCATTTCTGTCTCCCCGGACGCACCTCCAGCTCACCATTACTGTCCCCCAGGCACACATCAGCC